TATAGGTCTCAAATTGAGGCGATACTCGGTCGCAAAGTTATTCAAGAAAGTAGGTGGCAGCCAGGAAAGCACGTGACAGCCCTTAGGGCCACACTAAGGGCCCTTAGCGCCCTTAGAGCCCTTAGAGCCCTTAGACCCAAACCTTATTCAACAGTTTCAACCTTGAATAACTTTCCAACCACATGTCACACCAGGATGCAACCGGATTCAATTGAAAGAGAATTCAATTACCGATTGATTGATACCAGCTGCAGTTTGAGGCGATACGTGGTCGAAGAGTTATGTTGGTATTTGTCTCGACAGCAGTCACGTGACACTCCTTAGCGTGGCCCGAGCGGCTCTAGGGCTCCTAGGCCAGTACGTCTAAAAACACTACAACTATTTTCTAAAAACACTACACCTTCCTATTTGAGTCTAGCAATTACATGCGACACTCCACCACCTAATTTCATAACGTTTTTGTCTAACTGCATAATAGCGCCTCTAGCGCCCCCAGCTGCCCACATCAATTCAATCCAAATAACTTTTCAACCACATGTCGCACCATGATGCAACCGGATTCAATTGAAAGAGAATTCAATTACCAATTGATTGATACCAGTCTGGAACTAAGGCAATTTGTGGTCGTAAAGTTATCCAGGTAAATAAGATGGCAAGCCGGGGCCACGTGACTACCCTTAGAGCCACGCTAAGAGCCCTTAGGCCACTTAGAGCCAAACCTTATTCAACAGTTTCAATCTTGAATAACTCCCTGAAGCAATCAGCTACAAACGTGCAACCGATTTTGATTGAAAGAGAATTCAATTACTGATTGATTGATTCCGGCCGCAATTTGAGGCGATACGTGGTTGAAAAGTTATGTTGGTATTTGTCTCGAGAACAGTCACGTGGCACTCCTTAGCGTGGCACTAAGAGGTCTTAGTGTGGCTCCAAGGATAGTCACGTGCCTCCCGGGCTGCCACCTTTTTACTTGAATAACTCAGCGACCACCCATCGCCTCAATTTGAAACCTACATCAATCAATCGGTAATTGAATGCGCTTTCAATTGAATTCGGTTGCATTATGGTGCAATATATGATTGAAGAATTATTTAGGTGGATGGGATGGATGGCTTGGACAGGCCCTAGCTTTTAAGATTTAATAGACTTATAAGATATATAATACTTAATAATAATACACCTAAAGGCCCGATAGCAAAAATAGGTAATGCATATAATAAAACTTTTATAAATTATATTAAATTATATAATTAAATAAAAACGTTATAAAATTAAGTAATAAAGTGTCACATATAATTATTAAACTTAAATAAAAAGGTGTAATATTTTTAAAAAATAATTATAATGTTTTTAAATATATTGCTTTTAAACGGCTTTAAGGCCTTAATTAAAATCTTTTTTAAACTACCTTTTAAAAAATAAAGAGATATATTTAAGAGGTTTGCTATGTGCACTACCTATTTTTGCTATCGGGGCCTTAGGTGCACTACCATCAGGTATTGTACATCCCATAAGTCCCTTAAAACTTTAAATCCGGAGCCGCCCCAGGCTCTCCAGCCCTTCAATCCATATAACTTTTCAACCACATGTCGCACCACAATGCAACTGGATTCAATTGAAAGGGAATTCAATTCCCAATTGATTGATATAGGTCTCGGATTGAGGCGATACGTGGTCGCGAAGTTATTCAAGTAAATAGGTGGTGGCCTAGGAGGCACGTGATCACCCTTAGAGCCACACTAGGAGCTCTTAGGGCCACACTAAGAGCCCTTAGGGCCACACTAAGAGCCCTTAGAGCCGCCAAAGAGCCCTAGAGCCGCCTGGGGCCACGCTAGTAAGTGTCACGTGACTGCTCTCGAGACAAATACCAACATAACTCTTCTACCACGTATCGCCCCAAATTGCGGCTGGTATCAATCAATCAGTAATTGAATTCTCTTTCAATCAAATCCGGTTGCACGCTTGTAGCCATATATTTCATGGAGCTATCCAAGATTGAAATTGTTGAATAAGGTTTGGCTCCAAGTGGCCTAAGGGCTCTTAGCATGGCCCAAGAGCTCCTAGTGTGGCCCTAAGGGTAGTCACGTGGCCCCAGCTTGCCATCCTATTTACTTAAATAACTTCGCGACCACGCATTGCCTTAATCCGAGACCTATATCAATCAATTGGGAATTGAATTCCCTTTCAATTGAATCCAGTTGCATTGTGGTGCGACATGTGGTTGAAAAGTTATTCAAGATTGAAGGGCTGGAGAGCCTGGGGCGGCTCCGGATTTAAAGTTTTAAGGGACTTATGGGATGTACAATACCTGATGGTAGTGCACCTAAGGCCCCGATAGCAAAAATAGGTAGTGCACATAGCAAAACTCTTTATTTTTAAATCATTTAAGGTTATAAATTATTTACTCCACACATACTTTCACGTTATAATACCTAGTAGCTTATGTCAGATCTCTTTGGATAGGTAAGCATAGGGCTAGCCCTTGAATCCATCGCAAGTACCCGCAGGTCTTAAATCTGTTTCGGCTTCACGTCAATGATATGGAGGTTAGGAGCGCCATAATAGCCCATATGAAATGGCCCTCGACTCGGGTGACTTCCATGGTGCACTTTCCTAGCCTGGGCCCACTTTTCTTGGAAAGGGGCTTGGGGGCCCAAGTCAAAGGGTTCCAATCTGACAACAGCCACCGATCCTCGAGTTGCACGCCTAGGCAGGCTGTGTGTAACTGAGAAAAGAACTTCGGCACTTGGATATCTCAGAAAGTAACTCGCCGGCCGCTATCAGCCTTCAACTATGTCGCCGTGAGGATAAGGGGGAGGGAAATTTTTAGCGTGAAGTTCACGATACGCTACCTGAGCAATAGTGGGATATCGTGTCGGTATATCTAGCTTTGGTCCGTGGATAAAAGGCGTTGATTTAACTCATAGATGTAGAACCATCTATCACCATACAACACATAGGATAACAATGCCCCTTCGAAGGTGTGATATTCGCCAAGCGAGAATGTTCGGATGGTAACATTATAAAAATATCCCGATACTAACCCTCAGTAGGCATAAAGGAGGCTATCAGTAAGTTGTGAGGACACGGATCTGCAACCTGAAAAGAGGTAAAAGCCTGCCAGGACAGAATGAAGCGGCTAGTATGTTATATGGTGAGCTGATCAGCGTTAGCGGCCAATAAGACAAGTAAAGCGGAAGACCATGCCTAATTGTCTACCTACGTTGATTTCTCTCTAGAAGATATTTCGCTTACTGGGTCAGATATGAGGAGTTTGGGGGTGGATAATATATGCTGTATCACCTGAAAGTTGCCCTATCCTCCCCACCATCTCTTGCCGCTTTACGCAGACATGGTCAAGCGCTAATGAGGGAAGGCTCAGCCTTTGATCACGACAGCTCGGGGGGGGCGTCAAAAATGTATTGGCGAAGTGAAATAATTTCCCGACTCAAGGGAGTTGAAAATGAAATGTTCACTCTTCGCGAGGTGACAGGTTTCTGAGAACCCTAAGGTCCATAAGAAGGTACCTAGGTACGAATACGCGCCATAATCATTTACACGTAAAAGCCCAATTAATGCCCAGAACTTCCTCAATTCTTGCATACGCCCTATAGCTATCTTGATGCCTAGCATCGTCGATGCTTCAATTCCGTTCGAAACACAAGACCTTTTAGAGTAGTACAACCCGATTTATATCGTAGGTCCCCAGTTCTCATCCATGCAGAGCGCATCGAGATACTCGAGGCTCGATATGTCAGACTTGGTCACCACCCGTTTTCGGAGCCTTGTCGTTCCAGACAAAGCCGTACCGACAAAGCAAGCCCGCCATCCTCTCCGTCCGAATCAACTGCAACTCACCCTCTGAAGGACCCCCTCCGGTTTCCGCCAAAACGGTCTCCCAGAACACGCCCTCGAGCTCAGCACGGTTGTCGTAGTAGTGCCACCCTTTGTAACTCATGTGGCCGAGGATGTTCTCAAAGCCCCCGAAGCCAAAGGGGAGGATCCGCGCCTCGGCCCAGTCCACAATCCCCGTGACGCTGCCGGTTTCAGGGTCGACGAAGATGTCAATCTCACTGAGGCATGAGTGGGTAAGAACCGAAGGAAGCACCTCTGAGAAGAGCGATGGCAGCTCTTGGCGAAGTGCCTCCAGTTTGGGCGCAAACCGAGGCGGTAGTTCTTTAGAGAGACGGTAAAAATGTCGGTGTCGAGTTCTGCAAGTAGAGCAGCACTCTTATCTGGGTGTAGTGTTTGGCGGTTGTTCCATGGCTACGCGAAGAAGCTACAGGTACGCTATCAGACAAGATATCAAGCGAAGGGGCTTGCTTGTAGACACACATGGCGAGGTCTCTCGCGGTGTTACGCTGTCGGCGCGTGGCATCTGGCTGCACATCACAAGGGAGGGTCGTGTGCGATGAGGCAAGGCGCCCCGGGCAGCGTGTTCATCTTATAGACATGGAGAGACCGCCCTTGACCAATTGTGCCGTGGTACTTGCAGTCAGGCACGAATCGGCGATGCAGCTTCTGGGCTAGATCCGAAACGGCGGCGTCGATGGCAGAGTCATGGGCTCGGAATTGGAAGAGCCTAGAACCGTACCCCCCAGCTGTACCCGGGTAACTGTACGGGATTCACCTGTCCGCCGGCGTGGGATAGGGCGAAATCGTCGCATTGCTGTTTTGTTACAGATGGGTTTTTGGTGAAAAAGGAGATGATTTCATCATCGAGGTTATAAACGTTCATCATTACATTGAGGGCATCATAGAGCACTAGAATGAAATGTGAAGAGTGCGGGGGTGACCTATCCGTGAGAGGAGAAATTTGGTGTTGTCTTTGCATTGGAGTAATGAGAGTCTTACCCTTGGCTTAAGCTAAAGCAGCAACAGCTCAGGGTGGCTTAGGAGGCGATGCATAGGTATATTTGTTGTACGATGTAACCCAATGCCTACTCCGAAAGACTGTATGCTGTTAGAAAGGCGTCGAGGTTTCTTGTTTTCCGGTGGAACAGACTTTAAAGCTATATTGTCCTTGAGATGGTTGGTTAGTTTGGTCCAATCACCAACATACTTCTATATAGTTCCGGATCTCGTCGGATATGTGACCTAAGCCTTCTGGTACAATAACCAACAGTGGGCCTTTATTGTCGCAATGAACTATGTCTTCTGGATTCTCGCTTTAGCGCGAGGAATTCGTTTTGGAGTATCGATATGGCTCAAGATGTGAGAGGTCGCCGCATCATTAAGATACACTTTGAGGTAGAGGAGGAGCCTGTAGGGGAAGTGCTTGAAGAGAAGGTGCTTGTAAAGGGGGGGATAACCAAGGATATTCCTGTACTTTCGCGAACCGGAAACAAATCACCCGAGGACTTTAACGACTCAGAGCATTTCCTCTTGATCTCGCTGAGGCTTCTTCAAAATTCAAGACTAATCTCTCTTCCGGACAAAGCGATTCAATTTACGACGAAGCCCGGTCAAATAAGGGCAAACCTCAAGAACAACAATACACGAGCCGATGCTTACAAGAATCTGTTGCTCCAAACAACCATGGACCTAACAAGAGAAGTAAAAGAGGCGGATGAAGAAAATTCTCTATGGGAACCATTTTACCGCTATCATAGGAATGAATTTCACGTTACTCCCTCTGCAAGTCCATATCAGCGCGGTGTTGGTATCCGCTGCCCAGGCTGGAGAAGAGGAGGCTCGGCAGAATCAGAGGAATGCGATACTATTCGCACCTGCATTCAACAGCATCTAAGAGATAACGACAGGTCATCGCCTCCTTTCATATCAGTGTCGGATAGCCCCGCTAGGATATATAACATAATCACGGCTGACAGGGAGCGGACTGCCGAGTCTACCAGCATCATAGTCATCTCTCGGATGAGGTTTTCTGGATTGGGGGTATGGTTTGAGAAAACGACCGACCTCATAGATGACTATCGGATCCCGAAATGGTCACGCCAATATCCAGATGGCTGTCAATATGTCACCGATAGTCATTGGTTGATACATCGATGGCTTCCTCAAGCATGCATAGTGCTTGAGATGGATCTCAACCAATTCGCCTTGTTTTGCAAAGACTCTGGAGCTATCACGGAACTGGAAGATGCTGACACTCACGCTATACCTCAATATTCGCGATCGGGCCGGTATAACTATGAAGCGATCCGCAATTTTGATAGGAGACCTTTGTTGAAAGAGATACTAGAGTTCAAGGCTAAATTGAGCGCTGGAGAGGAAGGCGCACAGCCAAAGAATGAGACTAGACTGGTAAACGCTGAGGTGGAAGTTCTTACTACAGCTTTAGGGAATCTTGGGCTGTCAAGCAAGTAAACGCTGAGTGTTGGCCAGCTTGACACCAAGACTTCTTCGCTGCAGAAATAGGGATCACCCGAAAGTTTTGCCGAGAAATTATCATCGTTGTTGGCGGGTATACATAAAGCTACGGCATAGCTTCAAGTTCCTCGCAAATTCCGTAACTAGATACTTAGTTAGGTAGGTATCTGCACAGTTTATTGTATCCGTTCATTGGCTACAGGCGCGTTAGCTGAGGCGCATTCGCATGGCTGATAAGTTCTGAGCGCGCACTATCATACACACGCAGCTCCCATGATGAGCAGGCAGCTTAAAAAAAAGGAAAAAAGAAAAAAGAAGCCTCCAGTTCCCCCACCAAAATGGAGTTGGAAAGGGGCATCGGTCCAAGTTAGTTGTCAACACGAATATTCCTTGAAGTGCAAAAAGAAAATCAGATATATCAAGTTACTTTATTGCTTATTTCTAGTTCTAGGTACCTTCAAGGTTATGTAGTACTTAACCTAAGATATCAATCTGCTCCTGAAGGAGAAAGAAGCCACAACCTCGTTGAATCAACCCGATTTCTTACATGTATCTGTTCAAGGCCTTTGAAAAGCCTTTGAAAAGCCTTTGGGTTGCTTCACTTGTTTTTGCTCTATTGCTTCTGCTGTTGTTGCTGCTGTTGCTGCTGCTGCTTCAATTTATCTTGTTTCATCTTTTCTTGCTGCACTTGTATCTTGTGTTCTTTAACCATGGCGATACAAAAAACGCACCATGGGAATTTCGCACCGTATGGGATTCTTCTAGCGCACACGGCACATGGCTTAGTGAGAATAGATTTGCTGGGCATTTTCGAAGATAAGATATAGGGGATGAGCTTTTACTGTTGAAGCGTGCGAATGGAGATGATGTTTTGAGAATATTCGATCGCTGCATGCAAGCTATATGCGTGTATAATTAGTTAGGTTAGAACATTTCATATTGAACAGAACTGTATCATATACCATTACGCATTGAATAGGTACTTTGTTGGGCGCACAATCGCATTGTTCATGTCTCACATACCTACTCCGTAGTTATTCTATACCTACCTACCTAGTACATAACTACCTAGATACGGATAATCTAGCAATTGCTAGGGAAATTCTGTGCCAGTGATTCTCTACTTAGTACTAGGTAACATCCATCGATATACTGGAGGTTATGTATTGTGTTGTAGGCAAATGGACGTGTACCAGTAACCTAGGTACCTACTAGGTAGGTAATTTATATCTAGTACCTAGTACCTACCTACTAATACTAGTTACCTACATACCTAGTGTCGCATTGTGTCACAATGCCATCCATGATGGATCTCAGTTCTGGCCAATGATACAACGTCTACAAATATAGAACACGGCCCGCGTGATAGCGTTCCTCTTAGCTAGTTACCTCTTTAGTGTTCCAGGATCAGGGGTGGGGGAGGCAGCCCGCCCAAACACCATACTTTTGGATTGTCCTTATTGTTGATCCACCTTTTTGGCCTCACTTTTTGGTCAATTGAATTTTTTACTTTCTGTATCTTACCCTGCAACGGCGCTTTCTATAGGTTGAAATAATACTTGGCCTGATCCATCTTTAGGCACGAACTCCAGGACATCATCTCCGTCGGGGCGAAATAATCAAGATATTGATTATATGAAGTCCTGTATGCAGCTACCATGCAAGTAAGCCATAATTATCCAGTTTCCCTGCGAATGGACGAATAGTGCTTAGAGACACATTCAACACGTAGACGCATGCGCATACAGCCCAGATTATCATCTCCTTGATCAAAGGTTTGATCACGAACTATGGTAAGAACGTTTCCTTTAACCATAGTTTTGATCAACTGCATTCGTTTATGAAGATGGCCCTGCAACGGGGCAAGGCAAGTAGCTACTCTACAATTTGGCAAGCCAATTAGATATCAAGAAGAATCGGCATTGATGGTAGTTTTAAGGTCGCCCAGGTCCGTGTCCATTTAATCAAAAATGTAAAAGTAGCCCTATAGATGATTGTCAGATGGATGTTCATGAATACCTCACAAGTCAAGTGATGTCCGATAGAGCAGATGCGATGAGCTGCCACCACCAACAGAAAATAATATGGTATTGTGTAAGTGTATATCTACGGTCACTACTATCTAACGGTTAATGATTTGAAAACTTGAAGCAATGTACCAGTCCTAACGCCATTAACCTAGTGCAACTGTAACAACTACTGTGGAGGAATTTCCTCAAAACTACACCCAAAATGTATAAGTTGTGGACACGACAGGTGCAACTATTGCGATACGGACTATGTCAGGGAAAGCAGGGAAAGCAGAGAAGGACTTGACAGCTTATATACACCCTTGGGGACTCCATTGGGGGCGAGTGGAGGCACAATCGACCATGCGGCTCCGCAGTCTGAGTGCATACCGGTAGATCACAATGAAGACAAAGAGGCTCTGCGGAGAGGCGACCCAAGACTAAGCAGAACTGCATCATTGTCCCAGGCCGAACCAGAGTCGCGCAGTGTCCCTGGCGTCCCTGACTTTCCTGATTTCCCTAACCCCACAACTCAGGTCTTTAATGATGCTTGTGAGGATGGCGAACATACCCCTCGTAGCTCTCATTCCGATGGCCTTGATGATTGCAGTCAGATTCCTATCCTCGACTTAGAGTGGACAGACGAGGACCGCGAATTCGTCAAAGACTTCGGAATCGACTTTGAAATCACAGGCCTTCATATACCACCCATAGAAACAGATGACTTCAACGGCGTTCATAGCACTGGGTTATTCGAGCCCCATTACCCCATCGAGTTCACTAACCATGACGGTACCGTTAAGCCCCAAGCACTTACGTCTAGTGTCCCTAAGGACACTGATATACTTGAACATAATCCTGGCGCGCATGATCCGAACAGCTTTAATCCTTTTGCGGCTCAATATGTCGGATACTATGAGAGCTCAAGTAAAACTCCGCAAGGCTTAATTGCTTCTCAGTCTTCAAATGCCCCGCACCAATTGTCAATAGTCGATCCCCTAGCGGTGGTAGACCAAAGTGGTTTAACCTTACCCTTCACCACTCAACCCCCTATAGTCATCCCACCATTTGAAAGCGATGATCCTAAACAACCTACCAAAAAGAGAAAGCATTCTCATACGGGTCAGCAACAAGAGCATTCTAGCCATGTTGGTCATCAACAGGAATATTCTGACGAAGATCCCAAACCTTGCGAAGATTGTTTGCTGGCGAATGGCATCAACGAAAACAAGCCCTTTGCTTGCCTTTTATACAAGCGTAACCCAGCCCGCTACATTTTTTGCATGAACAAGACCTTCAAGAACATCAGCTCTCTGAGGCAGCACCTGGACAAAGAGCACAAACTCCGCCAGCACCACTGCACGGCCTGTTGGGAGTCGTTTGAAGACTCCGCTTCACTCAAGGAGCACGCAATGTGTAGGCCAACAGGGGGCATTCCAGTGGATAAACTACCCAAGATCACCAAAGACAGGGGGTGCGGCCATAAAAAGTGGTATAGGATTTGGACACAGCTCTTTGGGGCCATGGCTCGCCGGCCAAACTGCCCATATCCTCACCCGGCACGAGATATGAGATATCAAGTCCTTGGTCAACTCCTGCACCATCTCCATACTCGAGAGACCCAGCGCGACTTTAGTGAAATCGCTGCAGTTATTGGACAGTGGCTTGCCTCCAGCCCGAAGCCACGCAGCGATTACTTGCAGTTTATTACGCTGTATCTCCCTTCTACTCCCCCCCACCTAGCCCAAGATGTAGATATGCACGTAGCGATTTCTTGAACACACCTACAATACCCAGGCAACTATCAACCAGATCTTCGTTACTTTCCATATGAACAATGATGATATTCAAAGGCCATAGGTCTTACCATCATCGTTAAACACTGTCAACCTGAGAAGCTAGTAAGTTCATCTACCCAGTACTTAAAGCACCCTGCTTATCTCTTGGACGTATTAATACTAAATATCGACCCGCTAGGAAAACAGCTATCGGGTTTATATCCAAGTTGTTAACGTATTATCCAACCTTGAAGGTATTTACTATTTACTATTTACTAGATAGGTAAGTATGAATCCCTTCACGTCTACAGGTCGACTTACATCAACTTACGTCTATATAGAATCAAACAACATGCCCCACCTCCCGTAGATGATTTGTGGTCTCTACATCCGGTGTAGAAAATTTATTAGATGACAGATGTTCGAGTTCTTCTTTTTTTTTTTTCTCTTCCCCCTTGAGATCACAAACCCCCCATTATAAATCAAAAACATTGAGGCTAGAGCAACACACCTTCAATTGGTATATATAGGAAACTAGTTCTACGAAACTTCAAACCCCATCAATTTAACTTGTAACTATTCCCTTTTTTGCGACGTCTCAGAGCATCGACTTTTCCACAAACATGTTCAGGTACACACACACACGCACATCAAAAGATCAAATACAATAGGTACAATGCCATTGATTATTATCAATACACGATGATAGCCCAAGCCAAACCAGTCAGAGGAAAGCCCATACCAGGGTAAGTAGTTACCATCGAGTGCGCCTGCATCAACGCCCTCGTCCTTCTGGGAACCAGCCAGCCAGGAATTCGCCGGCCCCCTCTCCCTCGTTTGCTCACCCCCCTCGTTGGGTGTATTAATTTCCGACTTATTAGATAGTTAAGTAGATCGGTAAGTAAGTAAGAGTAGGGTAATAGATACTAGACACGACAGGAGACAGACAGATACCTAGGCAGACAACGATATATCTCTCCTCCTCTCACCCCTCCCCCCCCTTGCTTCCCAGCCTCATCCATTTAATCTCCCCATTGCTTTTCCCCTCTCCCCCTCAATCTCTCCCTTTATCCCTCTCTCTATTTTATTCCCCCTCCCTCCCTGCCATTATCACTCCCCCCCACCCCCAAAAAACCCATTCTGCCTCAACTTCTCCACGTCCCCGCCCGCCGCGCGGATCGCCTGCATGTACGCCTCGCTCATCTTGCGCTTGTGCTCCATCGCCTCCCTCTCCCGCCTCGCCTTCGTCTTGCTCGACCCGCTCGGCGCCACCCCGTTCATCAGCACCTTCTTGTCGCTCGGCGTGTAGTTGCAGAACTCGATCGCGAAACCCCCGCCCCCGCCCCCGAGCATGTTCTCGTAGCTCGTCGCCCGCGAAACACCTTTGCCCATTGGCGACTGTTGCTGTTGTTGCTGCTGTTGCTGTTGCTCGCCCCGCCGACTCCACGACCGCCGCTTCCGCACCGCGAGAGACGACGACGAGGCCCGGTGCCGCGGCCGCCCGACGTCGTTGTTGTTGTTGCCGGCCGGGCCGGGGGTGGAGGGGAAAGACATCCCGATCCCCACCCCGATCCCCATCGGCGACGGCGAAGCGCTCTCTTCGCGCAGCGCGTAGCACATCGCGCCCGCGCCAGGCGCCGGTGCGTTTCCCGCGGCAGACGCCGACGACGCCGACGACGACGCCGAAATCTTCCGCGGCGAGCTCATGGGCGCGCCGTAGTGCCGCGCGCCCGACGACGGGGCGCGCGGGCGGTGGCGGCGGTGGTGGTGGTCTGTGTGCGGCGTTCTGTGGTACTGGCGCGACAGCGACGACGACGACGACGCGTGGCGCGGGGTTGGGTTGGGGGGTGCAGGGGGGCCGTAGTACCCCGGGTCGTCGATGCTGTTGCTTGAGCTCAGCACGGCGGCTTGGGGCGTGCGGGGTTGGGGCATGTGGATCATGAGGCCGGTGAGGTCGGGGTTGCTGCTTCCGCTGCTGCTTCCGCTGCCGCTGTGGTGGGGATGGGGGGGTGGGTGTGGGTGTGGGTAGTCGTAGGGTAGGTCGCTGTGGTGCTGGTGATGGTTTTGGTTTTGTTGTTGATGGTGCTGGGGGTAGGCAGTCTGGCTGCGATGGTTGCGATGGCCGCTCGGCTGTTGCTGGTGCTGGTGGTGGCGCGGGGTATCCCACCACCCGGGTCCTGCCATCGGGTTTCCTCCGTCGGGCATATATCCCGCTGCCACTCCTGAGCCGGGAGGCGTGGATGCAGACCAGCAGATGTCAACGTCGTTGGCGTGGCTGTCGTTGGTGAGAATCCCTTCCATCGGCCACTCAGCCGAACTGGTGCTCCGCTGCTTCGGCTGCGAGCGATACACGTGTTCGTTCGCCGAGTCTACTAACCCTAGGCCATGTGTGTAGAACGGGTCGTCGGTGAGTGCGGGCGTGTCCATCGGGGTGTCGAGGTTGAGTTCGTGGCCCTTCGCCATGGCAGGGTGGATTACCGCTGGCGAGGCCAGGAAGTCATCGCAGAACGGATCATCAAAATTTCCGTTTATCAAATTCAAGATGTCGTTCCCCTGCTGGTCAGAGGGTATCTTGCCTGTCAGTGGCGGGGACAGAGGTAGGCCTTCGAGATTGAGGGAATCTCCCGCATCCTCCAACTTGATGTCCGGGAACCCGGTCATGTTCAAGCTGTCTGGTAGCTCGTGACATGTGCTTGCTTCTTCTCGCTTGAACAAATCTGCCAACGATGCCGACCCGTTGGTCACTGCTCGGGTAAGGCCTTGAGATGATTTGTTCGGCTTTGACCGATGTGTGGCCCGGCGGATGGTGGCATAGATGGAGTCTAGAACACGATTGTGCTTGCGGGGACTCGGGGATGCTGTGCTTTGAAAGGGTGGGCTTGACGGGGCCGTGGCGTTTAATTTTGGTGATTTCAAAGATATCCCTTCTAAGCGAAGTAGTTCCGAATCCGAGATCGAGCCGCCACTCAGGACAGGGTCTGCTATTAGGGGAACGGTGAGCTCTACCGGAACAGACTTACTTTGGTCTGAAGTCGGAGCTTGAGACGGAAAGAAAGTAGCTATATCCAGTGAAGCAGCAGTCGTAGCTGTCACTTCAGATTGTGACGACCCAGACTGCGTGTCCAGATCATGGGACGAGGAGTTGGTAACACTGCCATTGAGAGAATCGAGCAGGATGGATGGGCTAGGGGGGTCATCGAGTAGCTCGCCGCCACCCAACAGCGCGGGGTCTGTGGTGTCAAAGGTGACGAATTGGTCAAAGAAATTATCGCTTGCCACCCCTAGCTCCTCGCCGTCGGGCCAATAAGGGAGTTGGCCCTGATCTTTGTCTGTCGGGTAGTGCACTGCCGTGAAGGCCATGGCTTCGAAGGAGGGAGGAGGGGAAAGCAATTCCAGCTTGCGTATTCACTCAAGAAACTTTTTTTTCTTTTTCAGTAGTGCCAAAATGTTCTTTTGGAGCTTGGGGGGGAGGTTAGGAAAGAAAAGAAAAAACGAGGTAGAAAAAAAAGAATCTACCAAAGAGAGAATATGAAGGCTCAGCCGAGGTCCTTGTGTCTAGACATATGTAAAGTCAACAAAACATGCGAAGTCTGCTACGGCAACAGCAGGTATGAGAGCAATATAAGCCACGGCGAGGCTGCTGACAAGGCTAGAAGTTGATCATAACAGATAGCCGTAGCAACGAGTGAAGAAATAGCTATGGTGTACGGAGGAATGTGTATGAAGCATCAAGCGAGTCTAAACTTGAGGTAACTCATTCCACTGGGGGATGGTCCTTTAAAGATGAACAACATCTTGCAATATGTCCTCCCCACACACCTTCCGGGGGGTCCTAACGAGTCTATCCACTCGAGGTTTACCATGCGCCATATTGACCCATCCACGTCGATGATAATGACAAAGAGAGAGGTCAAAGAAAGTAACCATGGCCGTTGTTGATCGATGAATAAATATAATGAAGTTATCAGTCCATCGGCGCACAAGCTTCGGTGGGGTGGGGATGTAGACAAAGAGTCATTGGAATGCAAACTCATCTCCTGGGAGAGAGACGGTGAGAAGAAGGGGGGGGGGGACTAAGTTGCATCATCAAAACTACCTCTAGGTAATGTCTACATAATTAATTATTTCTAAACTTGGCGCCGACCGGAAAATACCGATAATCCATAGACTTGTCTGTTGATAGACGTTGTTTACCATGGGCATGAGGTTCAATGTGGTACTAATTATCGAAGGAATATGTAGATATGGAGTTCTACACTCGCATGCACAATCCCTAGGTAAGTACTTGCCTCCCTAGCTACGCACGTAGGTAGTAGGTAATAGGTAGGAGTAGTTTAGAAAACCAAGGGCGTCAACGATTATATCTCTTCAGGAAAGGTCCATTTACCTTCCAACATGTGAAGCAATCATATTTATCCACTACGATACCCATCCAGACTAGATAGGTACTTGAGACCTTGTATCTATCCCATTCAAATCATGTAGTGACATTTACCTGTCGCGTGGTAACTGCTTGTATTTAACGTATTAGCAAAGCTCCGTCAGGTACCACTGCCTTTGTTACATCTATCCATACCATTGAATTTCAGGTAGAAGACATTCTCGAAAGACAAAGGCCGAATTTACATCACCTCATCGATGTCTCATGTATGAGCACATTTCCGGAAACAATGCAAAAATTCACTAGTGAGAACGGCTTTGTTAAAAGCTTGACTGGATAGCTACTCGGAGCCAGGCCCAAAAATGAGCTTTCCTCAGAATCAGAAGAAATGCTCCTTTGGAGCTATGATTTTCAATAGTAATATGAAGCGCCTCCTAGCTAACGCACATGGTGGCCGCCTGGCATATTAGTCATCGACATACCTCACGCAGTGGTGAGAAACCCCTCGCGTATGAGTGAGATGCGACGACTATCCGAGCCATCCATCCCAAATGACTCTAAATATCGTATTTCCTATCTATCAGTTGAATCTTCCCGAGCTCCCGAACCCCATTCATCCCTTGTCCTGCATGCACGTTTAGAAATATTCTGGATCTTCAATGCACCCGTTCCGTTCCTATAACGCCAAGTCAAATGCTGTCAGCGCACTGTGAGTAGATACACAGGGTATATACGTCGTCCAAAAATACCCCTAAAAATCTCAGTGACCTGACGCGATGCAATTCCCAGCATTGTCATGACCAGTTAGTGATACGAAAAACAAAACGCCTGCCGCTCGCTCATGGGTATATGTGACAAAGGTCTTAACCAAACAAAGAATTTCGTGCAAACACGATAAGAAGAAAAAAAAAAGTGAAGAGAAGAGAAAAGAAGAAAGGAAAGAAGCAATAGCTTTATGTTCTCGTAGTTAGAACTTATACAGCCGTCGAATTTGAATTCGAAGGCACCTCGGAGTTCGGTCGTTTTGTCGTTTTCACCCTCCTGCGCATCCTCGGTACATTCTTCTTCATATTATTACTTCGCGAGGCTGCCTCGAGGGACGATCGATATTTCAGAAAGCCAAATTTCTTAATACCTGCCGGAGCTCCTGCATCTCTCAAAGTTAGAGCTTCGCTTGGGGCTGCCTCGCCGTCTTGAGTACAGTAGTCCATGTCGACCTCCAAATCCATAGGATCGTCATCTTTGGATACTAATGCGTCCACGTAATTATCGGAGATGGGTGGTTGAGACGTCGGCATAGAAGCAGTTGAGGGCCCTGCAGCATGTATGTTGCATTGTATCCCGTTCTCGATCATGTTCGTCATTAAATCCAGCGCACGGGGTTTTGCTGGGCCGCCAAGGTGTGTTTCGGATTTCCCTTGGGATTTGCCCCATTCGATAGCCCTTGGAACAGAATTGAAAATAGGCGAATTGTCAAGTGGGTTTTCTATTATTGCGTAAGATTTTTGTGACGGTTGTCGTAGACATGATTCTTGTATCAGATGATTCTCGACTATGGGTTCGACGGGTTGGCTTAGGTGTGCTTCGGCAATAGGTTCATCAAGTTGTGGCCCAGGACATGACGATGTCCGCATTTGTGGTAGAGTTTGGTTGGTTGAGCCCTGTGTTTCTACGTCGGGCTCCATAGGCACTGACGACAGGCTGAGTTGTGCATTGAGTGAATCTCGTATAAACGTCTGTTTGCTCATCTTACGAACGAGATCTCCCATATGGCTGCCATCCGCAATGTGTAAGGCCGCTGGCGATGTCGTGGGCGACACCGAAGTAGTTCGGCATGAATTGGTCTTCGGAGATGACGGCGGATCATCATCATCGTCCAATGAAGTGTCCAATCTAGTCCTCTGGTTAAGGCCAAAATGCTCAAACATTTTGGTCGAACGAGTCGATCCAGAGAAAAGAAGAGGGACGAGCGAACGAACACCACCAGGTCGGGATCCCCAGGATTTAGTAAGATACAATAGACTGAGAATAAGACCCCAACGAGTCCAGGTAAGCAAGGTGCTGTAAGCTGTGCCACGTAAAACACACGATTTGTCGAAGCCAAGGCTGGTTTACCAACCAGCCGGTTCCCGCGCTAATGTAAGACCCAAGCAAACGCCACGACGTGTCTAACTCGTGGCCGAACCCCTTGGTACATGCCTGCCCACCTACCATGTACCTAGGCAGATAGGCTTGATACGATAGGCACTCTTCTCTTTTTTTTGTCTTCGCTCTATGCTTTCTCTATTGTCTCCAATAGTATGAGTTGGACATACGGCTGGAAGATGAGGATTTTCCTTCACAAAACGTATGAAATAATAGGCGGAGGGGCACTGCCTAGCAAACGAATGTAATTTAGGAGGGAAGAGAAGGAAAGGAATGGAAATCAGGGGTTGCGTAAGACAGTGATGAACAAAGCGTGGGAAAGTGATAGGTAGGCGCCGAGAACGGCAGGCTTAGACGAGGAAATCTGCCTGCTACTATGTATGCTACTATGTAGGTACGTATGTAGCATCAAAATGGAACATTTGAAAATGGAAAAAATGGAAAAAATACAGTAGTAATGGAATAAGGTACAGCTGCAGTGGGGTGGCGAAGGGCTCCCACAGCTCCTCTCCCAGATCTCCCTAACCGGTAACGAAACGGACCACACCCTTGGGCCTAGCTATGGTGCTTGGTATAAGCGATCGACACTAATTCGGTGCCATTGGTTGCACATCCTTGGAGAAGCTCTGGGGTTCTCGTCCGAAGGTTCCAACCGACGAGACAGCTATCAAAAGTAGCCAAAGCAGGTAGTTAGTTACTTGATAAAAAGAGTGCATATATCCCATTGAAGTTATATATTCAATGGTATTATACTCAATGTTGAAACATGTAGGTTAGTAGGAACATTGAACTTCCAAGGTTGAGAAAGTTTTTACAAAAAATCAGATCATTTGAATGAATTTGTAAGTGCCACAGCAGCAGTGCTAGCCCTGTATTCAATAAGGAAACCGCACTCGTACGGTTTCAGCAGCTCAACGTCTGGTAATATCCTCCAATCTTTAACGTTACCTCTTTAGGCAACCAAGAACTTTTAGATGACGCTAGAAGGATGGCTAGGACCTAGCTAGGACCCCGACAGCACCGATTTATTTCGTACCTACCGTTGCATGTAAGTAGCCTGGCAGGTTAATTTGCGGGCTCCCCGCTTATTAGAACTTGTTGGAACTTTTGAACCGAAGCTGACCAATAGGGACCGTGCAGCCGATGCATGGATATGAGTGGTGCCGCTAGGTACCTACACCCGTCCTGCTGGTATTTTATTGTGGGGTGAGGAATAGTTACTTGGTAAGCCCCGGGATAACTAAAGCCTCCAGTTTATAATGTTAAAGGAGCACTGCCGCAATTAACATTATCTCCAAACTCTAGTTATGTATTGTACGTCGTACAGTGCATAGTATTTGATTGTAGCCAATAGTTAATAGGTACATACATAATACCGTTTATATATCTATCTACATAGGATAAGGACCTAGTAGGCATGCTACTACTTATCTCCGATGAATGTCTTCTACCATACCGTATTCAAGTATTTCAATGTTAGTAAACACTCTTTATTTTCCATCCCTCGAAGCAAGTAAGCATCATTAACATCTTAACATATCATATCATCCATAAATACTACCACAATACAACATCATCACAACATGCCTACTTTTATGTCCCAGGCCACGGGTATCGATCGTAATGGATCTTACATAGATAGGTAGTATTATGTAGATGTAGGTTAGGTCATGCGCGCCAGGCTAGTAGTACCGGCCCGAACAGAAAACCACACCCAACCCAACCTAGCAGGTAACTTGCCATCTTAGCGCGCGGGCTTGACCAGGCGTGATCGACGCCCGCCCGCAGGAAACGCCTAGCTCGCCGAGAGCACCTAAACTAATAAAGTGCCTGGTTACCAAGATCCAATGCTGCGTTCCCGGGAAACGGGAAACCTTGAAATGACGAAATGCGCTATGTAATATATGTATTGTACATCCATAAGTCGGGGTTGACTTGCAACTTGGAACCTACTACAGATACATCACCAGCTCAAATCCTCAACTAGAGTAGTTACCTGCATGAATATGTTTAGGATTTATTAAGGAGCATCAAGTTGTATGTACCTATGTACGTCACATTGAGATAGGGATGAAAACATTGAATACATAACTAGGTATATATAATTTGTTACTTGTAAACTTTCAAAAGTTCTTTAAACCCCCTCCCCGATGACCCCCGCGACAAATCACTTAGGTACAATACAACCCCATCGCCGACCTGCCAAATCTGGTATCTCGTCATGATACCCTAGGTCTCCGATTCATGCATGTCTAGATAGATATTTCCGAGGAGAAGGAACCATGCCAACCCTAAATAGACATGTCAGCTCCTAAGCAGAACACCTTGTATTATGTCCCATAGATATTGGCTTTCCTTTCTCCAAGTCTGCGTACTTGATGCCAAGGAATGAACAAAGAAACTGCTTAGGTAGCTGGCTTACAAGATGATTGGTTGATTGATTGATAGGCCACGGATAAAAGATCATATAATTCGTGGCGAGTGACTTCATATGCTGCCCACAGCATCGCAAAGGCCCCCTATGTCACTTGATACCCGTAGAATGGGATGACTCCTCTCACTGCCTACTAAAACTGGATGCGGTGGTTGAATCTAACGATTGTCAAGGTTATTTCATAATCTCAATGTTGCTAATTTATCTTTTCGTGTATTTACAATAGGCGAACACGTTCTCGTACCATGTGTGGTATTAAAACGATTCTCTCGAGCCTCTCTGGAATGTCGCGTAGAAATAGGCCGTAGTATCTTTTAAGAGATACGTGCCCCACTACTTCATACCCGTCTTTGATCTCTCGCAGTAGTTTTCCTTGCGTGTCGGCTGAATGATATGTTGCTAATATCAGTATTTTGAAGTTCTGGGTTTGAGAAATAATGTTTCTGGAGGGATCCTCCCCCAGGTCTTCAAATGGATACAATTTCGCATATACGGACCGGTCTCCTTGAGCATCCCAGGTCACCCAATGCCCGATTCCCACGATCTGTTGTTCAATATAGAGCTCAGGGGAATAGAATGCGTACATACCATGCAGCTTTTCGCGAAGAAAAACTACTTTGACTTCAAACACCTCCGCTTCGATATGAATAACCTTGAAAAGGCGGTAATCTTCCAGATGTGAAGAACCTAATGGCTCGTAAAAACTTTGTAGCGATAACACCTCTCCTGCATTGTTCTCTACCCAGACCTTGGGGTTCGATAGCATCTGCTTGGATATATCCTTGTTGGCCCACGTAACCGAACCGGACCAGCCAACCCAAGACCAACTGGGAAATTCTTCTGCTCGGCGACGCCTCCCAGTTTCTACTTTCCAGTTCATTCCATTCATAAATTGGCAATCATAGCTTATATTGTCATAGCTAATCGTGCGTTTTATAAGGTCGACTTTCACCGGGGGTAATATTGGTACCCTGAATATGTGATGAACAGTTTGGTGTGCCTGGGTCAGATAGCCGAGGATACCTAGAAACCCGTCAAGATAGTCCTGTTCGTATGTGAGTTTCCTTCGCGAGTACTCTGATATATGATCAAATACGTCATCGGGACGAGATCCAAACTCTTCCCTGTGGAACATTGATTTGGACGTGATAGTTTCATATGTGACACTATCTAAGTCATCACCAGATGAGTCACCGTCATACGAGTCTGCTCGGCCGAGCTTCTGGCAGTCGAAATATGCATTCGTGTTTGTGAAGATTAGCCGACGCCTGGACAAAAGTGCCTCTTGGTATGTCCAGGCCCTAGCCATCCAAACACTCCCGCGAATCTTTTGAATTAGCTCTTTAAAGCCCTCATAGGATGTAGTCTTAATATGAAGCGACCCCTTGCGTTTCTTAGACACTCCTAATAGGCCGTGATCAGGGTCGAACCCAGCTGCTGCTATGATTGTCAAGGACGCGTTATGATAGATTTGTCCCATCTCTTTGATTTGCCTGTGCTTCTCAGCCGGATCATTCTGATCGATGCAATACCGATCCACCCAAAGGTATCGATAGCCCAGTTTGCGAGTAACTTCAACTGCATCTCGGATAGTTGCCGGCAAGTCTGCGAGGCCCCTCGACTCGTTATGATAGCTACTAGACTTTTTATGGTGCTGTTGGCCCCAAACATAACTAAGGGCGAAGTAGGGATATGATGGATCGGCCTCCACGAGCCTCAGCGTCTCGCAATCAATCAACTTCGAAGGCCCCTGCTGCCAATACTTTGGGGCTATACATTGTATATGGCTCTCTGTTTCGCAAGTTGAGAGCCATCGTTCTACTTGTTCGTAGTCCAAGAAACCCGCCGATCCAGAGGGTTTAAAAGGCGAGCTGAGCTTAGGTGGTTGGTCTTGGGGCCCTAGTAAGAGTTCATCACTATCATTATCAGACGAGTCTTCCCAATAACGCCGCCGCCAAAGTGCCCTAGTCTCTAGTAGCTCCAATTGGCCACGAATGACTAATCCTTGACTTGAAAGAATTGGAAATTTGAAGAATCTATATTCCATTTTGGAGACTCCTAATAGATGGCCACTATGTAGGTATATTAGCATTGCTACGAATTCACCTCCGTCTCGCTACTTACCTAGGCACATAAATTCCAAAGCCGCGCATATACGTGGAACATGTGTAATATTACATGCAATTCAGATGACATGGAAATCATATCCAGCCATCCAGGTAGAATGACGAACACAAATTAAATATCTTTGCATATTGGAAATAATCAGTCCTGCTCAGAGTGATGCCAAGCTTCTCAAGATGGGGTGTCCAATAGCACAACAAGAAGTCACAGCCCCTTCACCGTGGCGGTGCTCTTCGCCAGGATAGCGGATATAGGCGCCGTCACTCAGCGATCTGCATCAAGGCGTTTGCCCATAACCAGCGCATTCTGATGTGGACTCCAGTGATAGGCTCAGATGTCGTTGGGTCGCGAGTATGGCACCAAGAATGATCAAGGCTTTGTTCTGCGGGAAGGCAGCAACACACTAACCGTCTCAAAACATTAGCAATCAAGTCTTAAAGCCACAGGAGCCATATTGACTAAGGACGTCGTTCACGATAGAAAAAAGTGGATAAAAAAAGTGTATTGTAGAAGTAAAAGATCATCTTTGAAAGGGGTACTACTAGTACTCCAAGAAAATTACTAAATTGGACCTTGGGCGTCTTGATGATTCTATAGCAATACTCAAGACGGAACCAAGGGTATGACAACAACTCTTTTATTCCGTAACCAAAATACCCCTATCACGCCCCTATCCACACCCTTGAAGGAGAGTAGAAGGGCAAATGCTAAGAGGCTATTCCTACCATGCTACTTTTTCTTCGTGATTTCTCTATTAAGTTTGAAACCTACTTCCTGGAATTCATTACTAGAAAATGATGACCTTCCAGGCGACGGTCCTTATGTCAGAGTCTGTCCGTGATTAGAGGTCTTGCACCGGGTGATAGAAACTTGAAGTCTACAACAGCAACTCAGCAGTAAGATTCTGTCCTAAGTGAAGAGGTCGCACGCCTCTGTATATAGGTATATAACACATTGTGTACTCTGCCGCCTAAGTAAGTAGTAGCCACCTGGCAGATGAAGGCTAACGCTAGGCTCTCCCTATGGCTTCCAACAGTATCGAGAATGGAACTTAGATGACCCCTATTCAAGTCTACCTACCTAGGCGGCAAGGTAATTACCAGCAGACCAGAGAAACAGAGACTCGCCTCTCATCACAGATAACCCAAATGTGTCAATGGGCTATGAGGAATCCAATGCTTGGAAGAGCCACAGAGACCCGGTGTAGGTACGATAAGGTGTGGTGTAGCTGCTAATGTCGCTATTCACACCAGTCGAGGCAAACCCATTATCGCCCGAAAGTACAGCACATAGCACAAAAGGCCAGCCATGCTATCTGCGTTTGCTATCGAATATTTCTTTCTAAGAAAGCTCACTTGATACGTTCCAGGTCTATGGGTAGGTGCGTACCCAATGTATATCATATTACCTACCCCACATGGAAAATAGGTATGTACCTTTTCCCGGTCTACCATGATGCTATTTTCGATCTTCCATGCATGTTTATACCTAGGTAATAGGTATATATACACTACTCAGTAGACTTGGAGGATTCTCGTTCCTAGCCAAATCAGATTGTTGGTTTACCTGAGTCGAAGCCATATCTAATAAGCAACGACAATCCTACCGATCCATGGCAGTGGCATCCGCAGATCTGCCTGGCCACCAGGGTGCCTCGTAGCTAGGTAGTATAAGGGGATTCTTCAGTGCTTTCCAAGTTCTTTAAGGATTTATACCAACAGTACCATTTTCGTTTCTTCCTTGGTCTCGTAGCAGGTAGACCTTGATATTAGTGTACTGTACATAGCATAGCCTATCTAATATCTATTGATCATGGGGATATGTATTGGGCTAGGTATGCGCTCAATTGATGGGACTAATATAGCGCTTGTTTATGGCCAGGTAACTGTCCTCGACATACAAGTGACAGAGCCGCATGTACTAGAGAATAAGGAAGAACCAGGATAAGTCTTCGCGCATGGTCATTAATGTATGCCGAGAAATCCCGCGGCTTTTGCTTTCTACGGCAGCCGGAACACTAGCAATGCACTACTGGGGCGAGAGTGAACACTGAAGAGGCGACAGGATAGTCGGTGATAGCCCTAGTCTAGATTGGGATTGGTGAAATGCGTACTTTTTCACGACGTAGAATGAAGTCATCGACGGTCTTTCACCCATGCATACTAGGTATTAGGTAGGATTCTCGCCTAACTAAATGGGTACCTATTCTAGACCCAACTGCTGCAGTATTCTGGTCTTCCATGCAGACTTTTGCTGACTCAAGTATAGTGTACACCAGCCTTGTATATACCAGGTACACGATCCAACAGCTTTTCCCAATCCATAATCGTTGATCCTCCAGCTTTAGCACCAAATGATAGTATCGCCACAATTGCCGGAGGCACAGCAGCTGGGGCTTTCAGGGGTGCACGAGCTCTCAGTGCAGCACTGTTTGGGAAGTTAGCAAACATCGACTTGTGTAGTTATGTCTTCGTGGACGGTCTTTCAGGGTGGAGGGCTTACGCATCTGGTGGCTGATGAGAAAGAAGCGTAGCAAGCTACGAGGATGACGGCGAGACGCATGGCTATAGGTATTGATGTCGAGATGAATGGGACACTTATTATTTCCGAAGAGCAGATATGGTTATAAGAGCTGGAGATGGAGAGGATGAAGATTTCGTTGTCGAGTAACCTCCTTTAATGAAGAGAAGAAGTCTTCGTCTCTTTATACTACTTACCAATACCTACCATTACCTATTAAGCATACTCACAATAGATTCCCCGTCTGCCTGCCGCCAAGCAATTTCTTTTTTTCCCCTTACCCTTGCTCAAGTTGGTGTTCCAATGTTAATCCCTGAGGCTATCATGCGGCAAAAAATGTGGATGGGCTGTTAGCCTCAGATAATCGAGTAGCCAGCGAGTCAGTACAGATCCTTAGTAATTTGTATGCAGTCAGTACTTAACTATCAGCTTGCCTGCTAACTATCTGATATTTCAAAGATAGCATGTTACTAAAAAGCTGCTCCTTCAAAGAACCCAATCCCCCCACCCCCTGATGCGGCGCGGACAAAGCTTTGCCGTACTCCGTACTGTATCTCCAGGCACCGGCGTATGCAGTACCAGGCCAAGTGGCTAGCTTTCCAAACCTTGCTCGGGTAAGACTGACCGCCAGATGGCTAGGCATCCTGTTAGGTAAGGTTATTAGGTTGCTTGGGGAATTGGTATCTCGATTCTCGGATCCCATTCATGTAGAGAGAAATAGTTGATGTAAACTTCACGTTCGGCTCAATAAGATGCCGGAAAATAGGTAGATAATAAGCATTTTGGGTATCAACATGCGACTGGATGGTAAGCGGGATATCATCCATCTTTACAACCCTGCTCTCCTCCCCCATCCTTCTACGACAGATTAAACTATCTGTAGGCGTCTGTCGAGGCTCAAACTGGAGACTTTCAGAGCATTAGACTACCTAATATGATTGACCGACTGCTTCATGAAACCTTTGCCAGTAACTATGGATTGCCGATCTCTCATTTCCAACGGGTCGGGCCCATGCTAGATGATGATAGCTAGGATCATCTGGTGGTAGGACCTCCCACGTTCTCTTCCTAGTAACTACTTTCACAACTCTATTCAATGTATACCCGTGAACATAACCCATCAATACCTAGAGAGTCTGATGAGAACCTGTAGACAATAACTAAGCAATGACAACATATTGTTCCCAATCTATGTGATCTGGATCGCAATCGACTTATCAACCCCCTCTCATGCATCTGCTAGACTCTTATTAACATTGGCAATCGTGGTAGGTATTAATAACTCCGCTCTAGCTTCACGTCTACCTGAACCCCGATGTCACAAGGGGTCGATGGCAATCAATAACTTTATCACCCACTACAAGTTGGCCAACTCAGCAACAGGTGCTACTAGGTGGTAGTTACTTCATACCCCATGTTGTTCTTGCTTGCCGCTTAGTAGACAAGGAAGACATTCAAAGGGCTCGTGTCTAGTATTGTGAGTTTATGTCTTCATAGACTCAAACGGAATGCCAAAGAGCTGATTCCAAATATCCAATAGAACAAGTCAAATAAGAGAAGCATTAAAAGACCTCGAGTTTAAGTCTTTAGCCTATCTTCGAAGGGATATCTGGTGGTAAGGCTATCTTTTGAGTAGGTATAGTCCCAGTGTTATGAGTCTAGTAGTCTATCAGAGTGACTTGGCAGAGAAGGAAAAGGGGCATGGTTTTATCACTACGTGAAAACGGAACCGATCATCTGGATGATATTTCATGAACTTCTATCACTCACCTGTTAGCACTCTAGCAGTACACATCTATCATACACTCATAATATTTCACGAGACGACTTCGCTGTCTCCATTGTTAAGGTTCTACCCTGGAACCACATCGGGGATTAAACAGGACAAAGACAGCTCACATGTAGTAGGTAGGTATGTAGCTTCCATAGCCTCCAGCATATGCTAAAGATCCCTGTGCGATCACGATGTTGTTCTGCGTCTTCTAGGTTCCGCCTCGTGACATGCATCCTCTCTATTCTGGTCTCATGGCACTCAATACCTGTCTGCGTAGGGTCCGTAGCGATCCCCAAGAACCGTCGGATGAGATGCGCGCCAGTATCGAAAGATCTTAGCACATGCGTCTCTGCCTTCCTAGCACTCCATACATCACCTGACGTTGGATGTTGGTCTAAAAATATGAGTACCTACCTAGTACCTAGCAATCTCGTCCAATCGACAGCGAGCATACAATTAGCTAGGCACCTACTTACAGTCTTTGCTCACGTACCAATCACATACAAAGCACACTCTCCGTATAGACGCCTAGGTATGTGACGAGATTCCCAAGACTTGAGATGAGTCCAGCCATAGGGTGAGCCACAGATGTGGATAGACAGCGCGCTGCGCCGTGATATCGAGAGCACCCTGCAATTTGCTCACACCCACCGCTGACAAGAGTCTATTAGCTGATATCACCGAGAGAACCACGGGTTATATGAAAAGTGAAACAGTCATCTCTTCAAGTTGGTATTGATATACCTTACCTAGGTAGGTAAGTGTGACTCTTAGATAGACAGGTTATAATCATGATCGCTTGAACTCGGTCATCTTGGCGCTAGGTAGT